GATTGTAGTGGCAGTGGAGGCATGCTGACCAGTTAAGCATTTCATGCTAAGGCATGGCTGCATCCCACTTGATGTCTGTTGGGCAGTGGGGAGTTTGCTTCTGACGCTGAGTTGAGGAAAGTAGGGAGTTGTTTGGAAGCCAGGGACAGATTTTCTAGGGACTGCCTCATTTCCTGTGGAGGACAAAGATGTATTTTCCCCACTGCCCTCCTTGGGAGAAAATAGCTGAAGCTCCCAACACATTGCTGTGCATGGAATTCTGATGGAACTCTTAATGTTGTCCCTTTGGTTCTTTTTTCAGTAGAGAGGAAAATAGATACGCTAAAATCAAATCCTTCCAACCTAATTGTAAAGAGGAAAATCTTTTTTTCTTGTGTTCTGCTTGTACAGGAAGAGAATGGGAACTTGTGACAGGATTGGTGCCTGAGGGCTGCCGTGGTGCCCCCAAGTGGCCACTCTGATCCTGTCAGACCCTTGCTTCTGCTTCCCAGTCTCACAGGCAACAATGCCTTGTTGACAGTAATGAGGGAAGGCTGCACTTGGAGGCTGGTTAGCCTAGGTGTTAGGGGTGTGCGAAACAGGCCCTATTTGATTTGTATTTGGACCAAATCGGGGACAGTGATTCAATTTGTTGATTTGGATCACTGTCCCCTATTCAATTCAGATGAATCCAAATCTGAAGATTCAGTGCTGATTTGGAGAATCAGTGATTCGGACATAGACACAGCTTTAAATGTTTTTTCTACATGCCTCAAGGTACTGGGTATGGCTCATAAATGCTGCGATGCTGGGGCAGATGGAGCATACCACAGGAGCTCAGGAGGGCTCCCCATGTGCTCAGCAGCGAACCCAGAAGTGGACTGGAAGTACTGTCAGTTCACTTCCAGGTCTGCCAGGGAGCATGCAGGTCCCCCCCACCCCCCTGCACCTCTCTGGCTCAGCAATTGGCCACGTGGGGGACCCCAGGTGCCCCCCCAGACCAAGGAGGCACCAGTCACTGAGGTGGGGGGCATGGGGTGGCCTCTCCCACGCTGTCCCCAGTAGACCTGGAAGTGGACCAGAAGTGGTTCTGGTCCATTTCCGGATCTGATGCTGAGCACGCTGGGGAGCTCCCCACACTTCTGTGGGACACTCCATGTGCCCCAGCATCACAGCATTCACAAGCCACCTGGTACCTACAGGTATGTAGAAAAAACATTTAAAGCTGTGTCTATGTGTGAATCACTGAATCTTTCTGAATCTCTCTGAATTGGTTTGGAGGGTTCCAATTCAATTCGGAGAGATTGAAGGGTCCGCTGATTCGATTTGGATTCGGAGATTCAGGCACCGAATTGGGCCGCATCTCCACCAAATCGAATTGGGGACCGAAACTTCACACAGCCCTACTAGGTGTTCTCTCACTCTATCTCAGCATCTATTTCTCATGTCTTATATGATGTAAGGGCTAAATTCATTTCATGCTTCCCCCCCTACAGCCACTCCCATGCCTTGTAGGTGTGGCATGCTTCCACCCCTACAGCCACTCCCATGCCTTGTAGGTGTTTCTCCATTTCCACCTTTCTGATCCCCCCCAGTAGCTTCAGCCTCATGGTTGCTCTGGCTGTTGACAGGCAGTCTAGGCCCACTGTCTCTGGCCTGGCCATTCCAGTCTCACCCTTCACTGTCTCTTTAGTCTTCAGGCCCCTCTGGCCCTGTCTTGTCCTGTTTCAGCCCCTCTGGCATCTCTGCCAAGGGCAAAGCTACTCTTGGCTCAGCCCCATCCTCCTAGGAGTTTCAGGCTCAGGGCACTGCAACTCTCAGCTCTGCCTCCCTCTATAGCATTTGAGCATCAGCTCCACACTGCTTATTTGATCCCCGACCCTGGCTGGTATCTTTTCTGGGTTCCCCTACAGCACTCTTGTTGCCCCCAGCCCCCGCTCATAGCCACACCTGTTCCTCCAGTTATAGAACAAGAAAAATTAAACATATAACAGTAGAACTAGAAGACATGCAAAGCTCACCTCTCACAAACGGTAACTTCCCTGGGCTAGACCTGTTCTCATTCCTATGAGCAGGCTCATTTCCCTAGACTGCTTCCTGCAGTCCACTTCTCTGAGGGAGCTCCTTTTCTTTGAGTCTGCAGGGTCTGACTGCCCGCTCTGGCTCTGGAACTGGGTTTATGGGCCCAGGAGCACCACCCTCTGCTACTGCATTCCTTTTTTCTCCCCTGACCCTTCCCTTTGCCCCAGCCATGCACTGGGTTCTCACTCCCTTAATTATCAAGCTGCCTTTCTGCCGCTCTGTCTTCTTAAAGTGACAGGAGTCTCTGGGCTCCCTGGTGTAGATCCTCTTTGCTTGTTCCTGCTGCTTTAATCCCACATGCCCCTCTCACATATTCTCCCAGTCCTCTTCTGGATCCTGTCTGTTTGATCTCCCCCCTTCTCTCTAGCCTGCTTTGGCACAGGCTCTGGGGTCTCTGACTGAGTCTTCCTCTCCTTTCCTTGTGTCCAAGTAACAGAGTTTAGGTCCCCTGTTACAAAGCCTTATAGATTTTAGCTGGGTAGAATCAGATCTGTGCCAAAAATGTGTATAGCTACATTTGGTCAGCTCCAAATTCTGCCATTGGCAAAAGGTTCAAAGGGAATCCTACACTGAATGAAGATTGCCGTGGCAGAGCAGAATTCTTCTGTATCCCTCCTCCCAAAATATGCCATCTATTTGTATAACAGGCATGGGAGATGGATGGACTGAATTTAACACAAATGAACTAAAATAAGACTTTCCATCTGAAGGAGGGATTTTGGATGTATTATGGCCTATTATAACTACTGAGCAATGCAGATAAAGTAGAATAAAAAAAGAAGGCATAACATTGTATTTGATGGGATTATCCTGTAGCACAGTAAATTAGTCTACTGCACCCTAATTGCTGTGCATGTGTCAATGGTGACACTTCACTGCCCAGGAAATGAGTCTACTGAGCATAGTTTCATAGAAGTAGGGTCTGATGGGAGCTGAGCAGATCATCTATTCCAACCCCCTGCTCTGGATAGGAATGAATACAGGGCTCTTATAACCCCTACTAAGTTTTAGCTCAAATGACCCCAGTTAGGTAGTTATCAAGCCTCCTTTTAAAGACCCCTAACAAGAATTTCTTCCTGTCACTTCACTCACCTCAATTCATCCCAGCTGGGACTTGATCTCAAATCTCACACATAGTAGGCAGAAGCTCTGCCACACAGCCACCAGCAGTATAGTGTCTCATGTTGACATGCCTAATGTGACAGAGGATCAGAGCAAAACACTTCTTTATGTGTTCAATATGTTTGATGCTCACTTAAGAGAGATTCTGGAAAATTAGGTAAGAGTGGGAAAACACAACAGAAATCAAAGCTACTGGTCTTGGAGAGTGAAATGGAAAATTTGACACAAGATCCAAACTAGGGAATATACAATAGAAAAATCTAGTCATTCTGATATTAGGCTGACAGTAAATCTGGGACACCAGTAGGTCATTCTATGATGCTGTATTTATTAGGCCTAAATTACTAATGGTAATAAAGTATGGGAAGTACAAGCAAGGTATTATTGAGAATATATACCCAAAATTTGTTACATTAAAATCCCATGTGAACCCCACATGATCTTAATCACAAAACATTTTTCAGAGAGGAGGCCTGTAGAGGGCCAGAGGTAGTTCTTCAGTGTCATAAACTCTCTAAAAGAACCATCAAGGTGAAAAAAAGGGGAAATGACACCATTATAGGGAAAGTCAGAGCCATGTACTTCATTTCTGAGCACAAAAGAGTATAGCAGTGTTACTGATTATAGGAATGCATTTTGGGTTGGTTTTTAGGCCTTGTACTGAACTAGTGCTTAGTTGGTGTCCACTGCTGAGTATTTTTACTTGTGACAATAAGGTATATGAATGTTAATATGTCTCCTAAAACAATGCAAACTGGTTGTGAAATATAATAAATACATGGAAACCCTAAAGATATCTCTCAAGATGAATTAGCTTCACAAACGTTAGCTATATTTCCATGATATAGATATTATAATACCAATTTTGCAAATAGGAAAGCTGAGGATAATAGACTGAGAGAATTCCTTGAGGCCACAAATGGAGCCACTTTCCAGCATCAGCATTAATTACCTAGCCTCTCAACCCTGGCAGTCTCTTTAAAAGTCAGTTCAAAAGCATGATCTTCAAAAGCAAAGCAGTAAAAGTAATGCTGCTGGCTAGGTTGAAAGCAATGCTGTTAAAATGCTATTAACTAGGGGTGCACGCAATGGGCCATATTCAATTCAGATTCAGCCTGAATTGGGGACAGTGATTCAATTTGCTTATTCAGATCACTGTCCCTGATTTGATTTGGCTGAATCTGAATCTGAAGATTTAATGCTGATTTGGAGAATCAGCGATTTGGCCATAGACACAGAGTGAAATTTTTTTTCTGCATACCTCGAGGTACCAGGTGTGGCTCATGAATGCTGTGATGGTGGGGCGGATGGAGCATCCCACAGGAGTGTGGGCGGGAGGGGCCCACATGCTTGATGGTGAACCCAGAAGTGGACTAGAAGTACTTCTGGTCCACTTCCACATCTGTTGCTGAGAGCACGGGGGCCCTTCCTACACCTGCCCAGCTCATCAATCGGCCACGGTGGAACCCCAGGTTCACTCCCAGACCCAGGAGGCACCAGTTGCCCAGCCGGGGAAGTAGGGGCTCCCTTGCATGCTCCCCGGCAGACCCGGAAGTGGACCAGAAGTGGTTCTGGTCTACTTCTGGGTTTGCTGCCGAGTACACTGGGGAACTCCCCTGTTCCTGTGAGACGCTCCATCTGCCCCACCATCACAGCATTTATGAGCAGCTTTGTACCTCAAGGTATGTAGAAAAAACATTTAAAGCTGTGTCTATGGCCAAATCACTGAATCTCTCCGAATTGATTGGCGGCTTCCAAATTGATTCAGAAATTAAATGGTCTCCTGATTCAATTTGGATTTGGAGACTCAGGCACTGAATTGGGTCAAATCTTCACTGAATTGAATCAGGGACCAAAGCTTCGCACAGCCCTGCTATCAACCCAGTGACAGACTGAACTGCAGAAATTAATACATTCTGAATTAAATGATCCTGTACAGCATTATACAGATAATGCATGCAGCTGTTTTTATGGTGTTACAACGATTTGCTACAGACATCACCTTACAAGGAGATGCCCTAGTAACTTAAATGCACCAGGAAGATAGTGACACAGGCATAAAAAATAGAAACAAATCACAGAAATTCCAAGTACTGATCTTTAAAAAAAAAATTATTACAAGAAAAGAAAGAAAAATCAGAAAGTCATCTCTATTGCCAACAGAAAACAGATAGGACCCAGTAGGTCTAATCTTTGCTTTCAAGCCTTGTCACATGGTTTTAGGGATACTTCTTCATCAGGTCCATGATTTTTGCATACATACGCTTGGTTGCATCAAGACCCCAAATGAAATCTAGATGGTCCCACTCAAGAACATGCTCATGAAAAACTAGATTAGTAAACTGAGGGAGTAACATGGCTGTATCTTTTGGATCTGCAATCAAATCATGTCCACCATTCCAAACAGCAATTGGCATTTTCAGTTTTTCTATTTTGTATGCAGGAGGAGTTGTCTGGAAAAGAGGGGAACAGATTAAAATAGGGCAATTGGGAAAGCCATTGCCATTTTTTAACAAATAAATTGTGAAGTGACAAAAGTTTATTCCTCTTCCAAATCACTAAAATAAAATAACAACAAAAGTAGCAATAAAACCTGTCCTCAATCCTTTTTTCATTCTTCCCTGGTACCAGTAATTAGAGGTAATGCCCTTAAATAAAAATCTATCAATGTCAAAAGATTAGAAGTGTTCACAATAAAAGAGTTGTAAGTTCTTGGTTCATGTTACAAATTTTGCATGAAAGCACACTTGTGTCATTTCCATGTGATTTAGAATGATAATCAGATTATATATGGCTGGGATGCATTGGGTAAAAGACCATCTATATAATTCTTATTATCCATGTGCCAATAAGACAGACAGACCCTTCCATGCTTACTGGTATTAAAAAAAATTCTGACTTTTTAGATGACTTTACACTTCTTTTTTAATAAGTTTCTATTTGGTACACATTAGCATAGCAAGTCAAAAACCTTCATGACTTCACCTATACAACAGTCTTTTAAGAAAGTATCCTCATAATTATTTCTGATTTACCAGTGGGCACAGAAGCAGACAAAATGAATGATTGTTTCACAGCACACAAGAACTCTGTGACAGCTCCAGACATAGAACTTTGTCTCCCAGAGTTCAGGGTAAAAACCTGAAATCCAAGACCATTGTCCTACTCTGTGTTTGGAAATTATGTTGAACACAACTCTTAAACTGAATGACAAGTCCCTTTATTTTCCCATAAATCTTAGTAGTTAGTTAGTCTCATTACCATGGGAGCCTCAGAATGGAATGGAAACAATTACAAAATGAATTTATCACTTGCCATTTAGAAAGGCATCATTCCAGGATCTCCCCTGTAGGTATTTCTGTTTGTCTGCATATTGGCAAGTTAATACCACGCATGAACCTTTTCTTGCAGCTCCTAGAATGTGAGGATTTCTCAGGATTTGCTTTAAGTGAAAGATTATTTTAACTTTACTCAGTAGCTAGCATCAGGAAGCCTATTGAACTTGCCAATGCCAACTAAACTGGCATATAAGATCATTATCCTGTATTGAAAAAATGGCAGGCAAATGTCTCAGTATCTATTTTCCTCTTTCTGTTTTGTTTTGTACCTACTTGGTTCATGCATTTCTCTTGATTCAGAGGCTCTCCCCCTTTCACCTGGAACCATTCTCTAAATTATCTTTTCCAACAAAATTCACCAAGAGTCTACCAGCTATGAACAGGTAAGATGTTAAATCTTCCTTTCTTTGTGATTGCTTTTTTTGAGGAGTCTCCAGCAGGTTTACCCAAGAATCATTTGACAGTAAACATCCACCTACTTGTAACAGTCAAGTATACATCTTAATGATCTTTTACAACTGGACACATCCATGTTAAATTACCTCTTTCACCACAGGGTTCAGCCTCCTTATATGTGGTTTAACTTTTCTCTTGCAAAGTAGTGGTGGTCCATCTTTTTGGGAGGTATACCATGAGTTAGCCCCCTCTCCCTTCCACTCGATCTCCAAGTGCCACTCTGATCATCCCATAGCCCACAAACATACGTGATAGTTTCTACTCTGGGGTCCTAGAGGGGAGGCTAAGGGGCTCTAGCCTTTGGCTGTAGCTGTGCAGAGCAGAGCAGTGACAGAAGAGGACAGCACCAAGAGTCAGGTTAATTATTTCCTGGCCACAAAACTGCCATCGTTTTGCATGGCCAGTGAGGATACAAAGTTCTGCATTTGGTACTGACTGCAAGGCCAGAAAAGTTTTAAACTGTTTCTGCAGGGCCAGGGATTGCATTGTCTCTTGGCAGTGATGGCTGACATCTCTTCTCTCATGAATGCTTTCTTTAGCTCTGCTCCACAGAGTGCTCTACCCCATTCCTGTCCTCTGGTGCCTCTCAACTGCTCACCCAAGGTCACACATGTGGCATGTGTGCTGTGGCTGGCCACCTCTTTTGTAAAGTACCATGAAACACTGTCTTGAAGAATATTTCCTTTATCTTACTATAAATGTAGGTCTCTGTCCTTTGTCTTATGTTTCTTTGTTTTATTTATTTTTTTTACAAAGACCTCAGTATTTTCCAACACAAAGCATATCATCCTACCTGATTGTATTTCTCCATGTTCTTTTCTTTAGAGCCATAGTCATAAGCTTGGAATTGTTTTGCATATAATACCTGTTAATTACATATCAGCAGTAATTAGACTCAAAGCAAAAGCGGACTATTTTTGGAAATAGAAAGCAGAAGGCAGTATCCTTCTCCTGCCAAGACTAATTCTATCCTTCGAACTCAGAAAGCATGACATACAAGGAACAGTTGGAAGGAATGGAATTACTTTATCTAGAGAAGAGAATTGGATTTGATGTGTCTTCAGATGCAAAAAGATGGTGATGAACTGTTTTCTGTGCCCATAAGGGGCAGGAAAAGAATTAATGGCCTAAAATTGCAACAAGGGAGAGTTAAAGTATATAACAGAGAAAGTAATTCTAATTCTAAAAATAGTTTAACTCTTGAGCAGATCAGCTTGGGGGGTTGTGAAATAGCCACCACTGGAAGGTTTTACAAGTTAATTAGACTAATATTTGTGTGTTGAGGCAGATGACTTTCTGAGGTCCCTTGCATTACTGTAGAAGATTTTATAGATCTATGTTCTGGATTTCATTACCTAAGTCCTATTGAAAATCTGTCCATAAGGCACCCCACATGCAAAATCCCCTTTTGAAAATGGGAAATTCTTGCTTTAAGTCCTATTTACTGATATATATTACTTTGTACTAATCTCTGTATTTCAGCAAAATGACGAGCAGTTAAATCTTTCATATCGGTATAGGAAAGGAAGGCCATGCCATTCTAGATCCCAAATGTGGTTCTCAACAGGTTTCAAATGGTCATTAATACCTGACGCCAATGTAGTATGTTTTGCACAGATGTTCCAGCAGGTGAATGTGCTACATACATGCCCATGCGACTCTAAAACGAAAATAGTATTTATCATGAATGTGGAAATCCATTTAATAATGAGGTTCAAATAAAAATCTAGAGGATGTGGCTCACCATTGGATTAAAAGGATGAGGATGCAGTTCTCTTGTATTAAAACAGGGTACCTATTAGGGGTGTACAAAGCAGGCCGTATGCGATTCAGATTCGGCCCAAATCGGGGACAGTGATTTGATTAATTGATTTGGATCACCGTCCCCAATTTTGATTTGGCCGAATCTGAATCTGAAGATTTGTACATAGACACAGCTTTAAATGCTGTTTTTACATACCTTGAGTTACCAGTGCAGCTTGTGAATGCTGCGATGCTGGGGTGGATGAAGCACCCACAGGAGCAGTGGGGGGCCCCCATGTGCTCAGCAGAAAATCCAGAAGTGGACCAGAAGTATATCTGGTTGACTTCTGGGTCTGCTGGAGAGCATGCTGGGGGCCCCCCTGTACTCCCCCAGCTCAGCAATTGGCTGTGGGGGGACCCCAGGTGCCCCCCCAGACCCAGGAGGCACCAGTCACCGAGCCAGAGGGGCATGGAGGGTCCCCCCTGCATGCTCCCCAGTGAACATGGAATTGGACCAGAAGTGCTTCTGATCCACTTCTGGGTCTGCTGCCAAGCATGCTGGGGAGCCCCCAATGCTCCTGTATGATGCTCATTGTGACCCAGCATCACAGCAGTCACGAGCCACCTGGTACCTCGAGGTATGTAGAAAAAAACATTTAAAGCTGTGTCCATGTCTGAATCATCAGATCTTTCTAAATCTCTCCGAATTGATTCAGAGGCTTCTGATTTGATTCAGGGAGAATAAAGGGTCTCCTGATTTGATTCGGATTTGGAGATTTGGCCACCGAATCGGGCCAAATCTCCACAGAATCGAATCATGGACCGATGCTTCGCACAGCCCTAGTACCTTACAAGTATTTAGTGATTTGTGACAATAACTCAGATTCCCCATAAAATCTGTCATCCTGAACTGAGAATTGCATCACTCAGTTAGCAAGTCACATTATAAAGTCAGCAAACATCTTACCTGTTTGTCTTTACCCTTATAAAAGTCTATCCTGTTTCTAATCTGGCTACTTACAATGCATATCACATCCTTTTAAGGGTATTTTACTTACATTTACATTATGGAATGTTTTGACTCTAAGACATAACACATCAAGGCTTATCTTGTAATCTGTTTGTTTGTTTGTTTGTTTGCTTTAAGTAAAAATAATGTTCTAACATATATTTACCAATTAAAAAAGAAACAATGTTTTGATGAGGATATTTTTCTTACATCTAGATAAAATTTTAAAATAACAAAAAGCCACTATTGCTTGCCTTATGATCTGTGACACAATATAGGCCACGATTTTTAGATGGAAACAAGCTTTCCCCTGGCATATGCATAACATCTCTGAGTTAAAATCAGAGATGCACAAGGTTACCCAACTTGGATGTGCTTTTTCAATAACTTGTGTTTGGATATGGAGTACTCATACCTGGGGCTTCATTCAACCACTTGTGAGGAAGGCAGGGGGTGGGGTGGCAGACACAGGGGTCAAGGTACAGGGGCAGGCACAGGCATGGAGGACACTGGGACAGCACGGTGGCACGTGGCAGGGAACAGGCAGCAAGGAGGACAGGCACAGGGGACAAGGGACAGAGGAGAAAGGGGTGTGGACTGCCCCTCAATTTCTGCTGTTGCTTTCTTGTCACAGCAGTTGGGGGGACATATTTAGTATGATTTTAGGCTCTATACATGGAGAATTGTAACAATTTTATAACTTGCCATGTAAGAATGTAATTACTGGGGAGGGGGTGGTCTTACATTCAAGGGCATTTTGGAATAGGCATATGGGAGGTTTTGCTAGACGAGCTCTATATGTGTTAGTGTATATGTCTATGTTAAACTGGGAGAGAGAGCTGGTGAAGCAGTAAGAAATATTACTGGCACAAACATGAGGGACCAGAAAAACAGGGTAACAATATGAAAGAAAGTATTGGGATTGTGGTCTTGGCAAACATCTGTAGAGAAAACACCTGGGGACTTGGTTTGGGAACTGAGAAGAAAGGAATTATGTTCTTGTTACTGTTTGATTCACACTGGGCACATCTACACATACCCATGACTGTGCATTTGGTATTGTGCACTTGTACAGTCATTTAGTACTTGCTTTAGCCAGTACTGCGCAGTCCTGGTGGTACATAGTTATTTTTATATACTATGCAGCATCACTTTCATGGTTGTGCCTGCAAAACACTATATCACCATAGTGATGAGCTACAACAACGTAGTGTCTATTGTAGGTGCGCCCTCTGTATACGGGAAAGTAGACTTGGTACTTGAAAAATAATAAGAAGTGCATTAAAGAAAAATGATTCCAATATTAATTTTTCCCTCTAATGGAATTGTCCCCTATAGCAGAACAGATTTGACTAACTGCCCCAAAAGGGACAAGCCTCAAAAATCTGTGCAATACAGAGCCGTATTAACCAAGATTTGGACCTAGGATGTGGATGATCCCAGCTTTAGTTATAATCTAATATGATGTTGGTCAAAGCCAGCAGGAGGATTTTAATCATTCAGAATATTGATTAATTTTATCACACCTTACCATCTATATTTCTGCAGGAAAAAAAATGCTGTCTATAAATAATGTATGTAGATATCATGCATGTCAGAAATTACTTTAGTTTTATTGTTTTAAAATACTCTTTCATACTTACCATATTCAGGTTTGGAATATTATAGCCAACCACGAAAGAGAGGAGCGAGGTACAAAACTTACTCAGGGATGTACACATGGTTGTAAAAGGTTTCTTCAGATGTTTGGGTTGTTGAAAAAATCCCTTGTTACCAAGGAAGATCTAAAAAACATCCTTATTATTTTATTCTTACAAAAGTAGAGTACAATAATAAACTCATTTCATATAAAATAATCACTTAATGTGAGATAAAAAAATCAAAGTTCATTGGTCAGTTTGCCATTCTTTTATCCTTTAGTCCTAATATTTCCACAAACTCACAACTATCCTTTCTTCTTTATTTTACCAAGTGATTCTCATTGAGGAAACCATCTTCCTATTTTCATGGCAATAAAATATTACAACTAGTTCTGGATGTCATTAGAGTACATGCAGTTGTTTCCATTGACATGAAGACTGGCTAAGTTAAAAATGGAAGTCAGTCAAAGAGCAATAGACTAACATACTTTTGCCATACTTCAGATTTTCATAAGTTAGCTATTTGTCTAAAAAAAGAGAAGATATTCAGTACAGGTAATAATAAAACAAGATTCCCTACGTGCCAGGAGCGGGGGAGAGACCAGGGCTGTGCTGCTTTGGGCCCCTCCCCCACCACCCACTGTAAGGTGTGCCTGCATGCTCCAATGCAGAGCTGATGCTGGAGCCCAGCGCAGCTGTTTGGAGGCTCCTGGCTGCAGCCGGCCCCTGCTCTGGGGAGCTGCTGCCAGCTGGGAATGTGGGCTGCTCCCAGCAGGCAGCTGGGATGCTGGAAGCCCTGCTGGAAGCAGCCCAGGCTCCGTTGCTGGCAGCAGCTACCCGGAGCCGGGGCTGGCCGCAGCGTGCCAAGGAAAATGGCCTCACGGGCCATGCTCAGCATGTGTGCCAGGGGTTGCCGACCCTTGCCTTGGATAAAAATCAGCTTTTGTTAACGTAGGGAAATGTATAACTAGAACACCAAACTTCTTCATCTTGTTCTGCTACCATGCAATAGCCACAGGTAATGCTCAATAATGTTCACAGTCCCAGATTTAAACTGTTTTTTAAAAGCATGCTTTAAACTCTTGGAGTGTACTGGAGCAGCATGGCTCAGCATTCATAACATTGGTTCCTGGAATCCCTTTCAGTATAAGTGTTTTAGTTCTGGCACTGTCCCTTAACAACTCTAAAAGGAGTGTTTGCTAAGTGACAGCTCTCTTGAGCTGTTCTTTTCCTTCCTTCCTGGTTTCCAGACAGATCCTTCTGAAGCTAAACCAGTGCAGAAACAGAAAGCAAAACACACCTGTAGCCTCACCTACTTACATCATTCAAATTATTATAGCAAGGCTCCAAACTGAAAAGAAATATTTGAATAATTAAATATCTGAGTGATACATTTTTAACCATCTTGAGTTTATCTCAGACTCATTTAGCTCTTGACAATCTACCCCATGCCTGGCTGGACTCCAAACTAGGATAAGTGGAAGAAGCATTCAATGGCCTTGTACTGGCCCTATGTTAGACAAATCCTTAGCTGTCTGTTTAGCAGGTGCAGTCAGAACGGTGTGTCTGGCTGTTGGAGTGAAGGAATAACATACCTTGATCAAGGATTCAGGAAAAGACCCAAGCTTTACCATGGGGCTGGTCGCATAGGTAACTGTGGCTACTGGACCCAATGCAAAAAAAACTTTGATTTTTTCAGCCAATTCTGGATTAGTTGAAAATGCTGTAAAACCTGAGAAGATACAAAAGATCTCTTAACATAGCAAAGCTGAATCTGAAATAGCCCTGGTTGGTTCAAATGCTATTCATAATGTGAAAATCAAACATTCATTCTAAATCCCAATTTAGATTACACCTTGAAAATTTAAATTCCTGAGATGCTGTTCGGTTAGATTCTGATAGTCAAAAGTAAGCAAATTATTTTTTGGGTTTTATGCTCCTCAGTTTCCAAAAACCCATAGCACTTTACAACCATGTAAAACAATAGTATAAATGTTCTGAGGCTTGGATTGAGGAACAGAATATAATTTTCTTCTTGACTCTTAATTCAGACAATACGATACAACAAATGTTCACATACAAAACTAATAAAGCACTGACAATCTCAGAAGGCAAGCAAATGTCAAGATAAAAATGACTCTAGTCCCTTGTTGACTTATTGATTCCCTCTGCGGGTGGTAAGAAGCTTGATAATATTGATTTTAGTGGCTATCAATTTATTTTAAAATGGCAGCATTTCCTCATAAAGGCATCTAAAGTGTCTTCTTCAAAACTCCAAAACTGGGAGGCTGGTTTACAATCATGAGATTTTAAGAATAATAATAGGTAATTACAAAGGCCTTCATATACCATTTATCATTAGAGGATAGTGTACAGACAAGCTTAACATCCACCTTGGCATACCTATAGTTGTCCCTTGTGAATGGCCAACATAATAGAGCTGTTTCTGTCCTGTTTTTTCCAGAATAAAGTGTAGTGCTGCTGGAAGATCATTTTTACCCATTTCATCAAAACTACAGGGACAAAACACAGAAAGCTTAAATGAATGATTTCTAATACAGTTGGCCACAATAGCACACAGATTCTTTAGTTAAGTGAAATGAGGACTGATGCGAAACACCATCATTTTGTTTTGACGTCCATTTCACCATTTCAAAGGGATGGTGTTTCATTTCTTTGCTTCATTTCATTTAATTTTGAAGCACTGTCCCATTTCATTTAGTCAAAACTGTTTCGCTGTTTCGACGAGTTTTGACGTTTCGCCCACAGGCTATAATGGGGAATCATGAAAATACCTAAAACTTTGTCATTTCTTGCCTGATTTGGATGCAGACTGCAGGGATGGTAGCCCCTTCTAAGGGTGTGAAGTCTGCCAAGCTTCAAGGAGATAGGTACAGAGGTTTCTGGGAAACTGCACCTCAAACTGTTCAAAGCAAAACTCTTGATATTTGACAGCAGCGGCAGCCTCCTTTCATCCAGTGTGCAGATTCGGGAGCCAACACCCCTGGGAGGGCTGTGGGGTATGCCAGACTCATCCCAGGGGTGCAGACCCTCAGATCTGTGAACTGGATGAAAGGAAGAACTGCCGCCTGGGACTGGTGCTGGGTGCAGCCCGTGCCCAGCACCAGATAAGATTGCTGTTGCTGTCTGGAACTCCTCTCATGCAGCACACAGATCCAGGTGCTTGCACCCCCAGGAGGAGTCTGGCACAGCCTGGAAGCCCTCCTGGGGGTGAGAGCCGCTTCATCTGCACCCCAGATGAGAGGAGGTTGCCTCTTCCACCTGGGACCAATGCTGAGCTCTGCAGAGAGCCTATGTATTTGCTGTATGCAGCAGTATTGAAAGATGCACACTGCACATTTGACACAAACTAACAAGGACCAAAACCCCATGAGGTGACAAAATCACTCATCAGTAGGGCTGTACAAAATTTCACTGGGTGTTTTGTTCTGAAGCTGTTTCAACACGTTTTGAACTTGAAACATTGAAATTGAAATGAAACAAAAGGCTTTGAAACAGCTTCGAAATGAAACAAGGGCACTCCTCTCATCCAGGGCACAGATCTGCTGGGCTTCTCCTAGGGGTGTGAGCCCCCAGATCTGTGCACCAGATGAGAGGAGACTCAGGCTGCTGGGCAGTGCTGGACTCCTCCCAGGGGTGCGAGCCCCCAGATCTGTACACTGGATGAGAGGAGGCTCAGCAATCTAGTCTCATGCTGGGCACAGTCCATTCCCAGTGCCGGTCCCAGGTGGAAGAGGCCACCTCCTCTCATCCGATGCACAGATCCAGGGGCCCGCACACCTGGGAAGGCTGCCAGGCTGTGTTGGACTCCTCCTCTTCCTCCTCCTCTCACAGATGAGAGGAGGCTCTGGCTTCTACCTGGGACCAGTGCTGAGTGCAGCCTGCACCCAGCGCAGGGAAGATAGCTGCTGCCACTGGTCCCAAGAGGTAGTGGCAGCCTCCTCTCATCTGGCTTGTAGATCCGGGGGCTTGTGCCCCCAGGAGGAATCCAGCACAGCCTAGCAGCCTTCCCAGGGGTGTGGGCTCCTGGATCGGCACATCAGATGAGAGGAGGCTGCCGCTACCACCTGGGACTGGTGCTGAAGCCAAGCAAGCCCGGTTTTGAAACTCAAAATGGTTTGAAACTTTCAAAATGTTTTGAGTGCTCTTGTTTCATTTCAAAGCTGTTTTGAAGCCTTTTGTTTCATTTAAATTTCACTGTTTTGAGATCAAAATGCGTCAAAAAAGCTTTGAAGTGAAACACCTGGCGAAATTCCACACAGTCCTACTGATCAGTGATTTTGCCAACTCATGGGTTTTTAGTCCTTGCTAGTTTGTGTCAAATGTGCAGCATGCGTCTTGCAATACTGCTGCTTCCAGCAAATACACAGGATCTCTAAATAGAATTTCTAAAAGTTACTAGCCTGGCAGACTTGTAAATAGGACTCTTCTCTATACTGCATGACTGAGACTGGTAGGTGTGGGCCAACCCTGATCTGCAGCTCTTTCTCTGGCCCGATTCAGTACTTGGACTCTGCTCAGTGACAGAGCCTTTCATTTCAGCACAGCATCCTTCGCTTGCCTGTGAGAACCAAATTCTGGGGAGTTTTTTTCCTCATTTGTTGCACTGGCATGGATTGTCTATCTCACGTCACTCTTTCTCTCTGACTGTTGCAGCCCTATAGCTGTCCACCATGCTTTTTACCTCTGTTCTCACTTCCATCACCTCACTGTGCTATATCCCCTTCCATTTACCCACATCCCTCTTTTCCTCTTACAATCCTTTCCCAATTTCAGCCCCACTGAACATCCTTTCCTCTTGAGCTTTCATCTCCCTATTTCTGTAGGCCACTCCCATCCTCCAGTCACTACCAGTCTGGGTAGCAATGTATTAGGAATCTGAAGGTGAGATGTTCCCCTACCTCACTATTATTATTATCACCTCAGAAACATCTATTTTCAAAATTTAAGTCTTTCAGTGTACCTGAACCTCCAGAACTCTTTCTGGCTCGGCTTAAGAGTCTTGTGCTTTGAAGACCAGGTGTTCCCTCTGCTGTTTCCTAACCAAACATCATAGCCAGCATCTGCTAGGATGAAGCCAAGGCTGTTGTTAGGTAGATTAGAAATCCAGATGGTTGCATCTCCTAGGAGAGGGTGCTGCAAAAACACCACCGGCCTTTTTCCTGGAAAGGAAGAGGGTTTCATTGGCATTCAGCAACTACTACAGTGTAGTGAGGTTTGGGTTACAGTGTTCTGCTGTAAAGCGGTAGAAACCAGACTTTTCAGAGTGGCTGTTTGAAAACTGTAATAACACAGTGTAGCAGGTTGGCGTCTTTCAGCTAGGCTTTGTCCCTCTTCCAAGCATCTTTTTGCAGTCTTAGCACTATGCAGTAGGGCTGTGCAAAGCTTTGGTAGGTGATTTGATTTGGAGGAAATTCGGTTCAATTTGGGGACCGAATCTCCGAATCTGAATCGAATTGAGAGAACAATTATAAGATCCAAATCAATTTGGAAAAGCTTCAGAAAAGATTCAGCTGCTTCAGAGATTCAGCCATAGACTAAACAGGCAGCTGACACAGCTGCCTGCAGCCGGTAAGTCTGTTGGGGTTGGGGGAGGGAAAGGTTGTGTGGGAGGGAAGGATTGCGGCTGGGGCTGGGACCAAGCTGCCCAGTAGGATTGGGGATGTGTTACTCAGAGAGGGGGGCAGAGGGGTGCGGGATGTGGGCACACCACCGCTGGAAGTAGGGGCTCTGCTCTGCTGCCACTTGCCCAGCTGGGATGGGGGAGGGGAGGACAGGATGTGGGTGTGGCTTGCTTCAGGTGGAAGGGGGGAAGTGGCAGCAGGGCATAGCCCCCACTCCCAGCACTGCTGCATCCACATCCCATGCCTTCCAAGCCAACTGGGAAGCGGCAGCAGGGCAGAGCCCTCGCTCCCAGAGCTGATGTGGGTGAGGTAGCGCTAGGAACAGGGGCTATACCCTGCTGGTGCCTAGAGAGAGCTGAGCCTACATTGCATCCTCCTCCACCTGTGCTGGCAGGTGGCTCCTCCCACCGGGGCAGAGGCAGGCACAGCTGGAGGAGCTGCAAGAGAAGCCCCCATGGCTGTCCTGCCTGGCACCACCCCCTGCCCCCCTGCACCCAGCCCAGCCTCCAGCACTTTAAAAGAAAAAAAAAAAGCCCTGCACTCACTGGCTCTGGCAGAGGTGATTGGGGCCTCTGGGCACTCATGGCAGAGCCCCCCCTCCATGCAGCGTGGGGCAGTGGGGATGGACCCCCCTGCCTGGCACCCATGTGGCAGCTGCCCTATGGTGTGGGTTCAGTGTGGCTCAGCAGGGCACCACATGCTGTCTGGGGGTTGGGGAGGCTCAGCCAGACCCTGCCACTGCTCAGCCCCAGTGGCCCCAGCTCCAAGGCAGTGTGCAGCACCCTGCTGAGCTGCAATGCACCCACACCATGGGGAAGCTGGCATGTGGGTGCCAGGCAGGGGGATGATCCCCACTGTCCCGTGCTGCCCCATGCTGTGTATGTGTGTGTGTGGGGGGGTGCCCTGTCATGAGCCCTCAGAGGCCCCAGTCACTGCTACTACAGCTAGTGAGTGCAGGGCTTTTTTTTTTTTAAAGTGTCGGGACTAAGCTAGGGCCAGGGGAGGGATGGTGCTGGGCAGGGTAGCCATGGGGGCTTCTCCCATGGCTTCCCCCACCCAGGGAGATGCAGGCACAGCTGAAGAAGCCGTGGGAGAACCTGCAGCTGCCTGGCTCTGCCTGCTTCTCCCCAGCCGATCCAAATCATTGAATCTCTCCAAATCAGTGCCAAAATCTTCCAAAGCCAATTCAGCTGAATTGATTCAGGACAGTAATCCAAATCTCCCAATTGAATCACTGTCCTCTGAATTGGCCAAATCCAAATCGAATACTTCCCTATTCACACAGGCCTACTATGCAGTCTCTCACTTTGCTGGCCTCTGCTACCTGGAGCACCTCTCAGCCTGCCCCAGTTATATACAGGTCTTCATCAAACAAAGTAAGCAAACATAAACATTACTGTCCTGATCCCTGAGACAGGTCCACTGTGGCTTCAGGGGTCTTTCCCAGTTTATTCCTTCTCCTAGCATGGAGATTTCCTGCATCTTCTTTCCCAGTTTTTTCCTTCTCCTAGCATGGAGATTTCCTGCATCCATTGTTTCTCCTCCATACTCACCCTGGTTTTGCCTGCTGGGGTTTTTAATTCCCAGCAAGCCACACCCTCAGCTCCAGCTCTTTACTCTATCTAGCTACCTTCTCTTAAGAGAATTGGCCATCCTGCTACATGCCTCCCCACTTTAAGAATGAAGTTGGAGACTCACTTCTCAATTTAACACCCTGTCCTGGCCTTCACAGGAGAAAAAGTCTGAATTCATATATGCAGCCCCAGGTCCAAGGCAGATGACCTGATCTGAGGAAGAATGTCTTGTATTTAAAAGCTTGTGAACACTATTGCAACTACACAGATGGTCCTATAAAAGATTTCACCCTAAGAAATCCTTCCCTCTTGCATGTGATGCAACATTTTTAAGAAGAAGAAAATACTTTAGATGATGGCAAGTCACTCGGCTTACATGAAAGCAAGAATTAGAGATGCAAAAAAGGGTTTACAGAAGTACAGAACCAGGCCAACCTTACCTGTTTTTATGATTTGATATGGAATCAAAATTCAGATGTGAATGGGAAAATGTGATATATGTAGGAGTCTACCTAATCATGGGGGAACTTCCAATTTTCACAGGTTAATTGTGGCATAAATTTCTCATTCTGTGGTTATTTTATTGCTGGCCCATCCCTAGGCACAGATTGGTGGAGAGGCCGCAGAGGAGAGGATGGATGAGGGAATGGCTTCCTTCTTGATTGCAAGTTGACATTTATGCAGCCCCACCTCTCAGCACTGATTGGCTGAGAGGTCTCAAAGAGAGGATGGAGGGGAGGCAGCCACCATTCTGACTGCTGGCAGCCATTCATACTGCCCTGTCAGCCAGCACCTTCCCCTCTGGGCAGCAAAGACTGCTAGCTCCCACTGGGAAGCCAACATTTTATTTTATTTTTGTTGTTGTTGTTTTCACAGTTTTATGGACAATCCCGGATTTAGTGGTGCCTGTGAAATCCATGAAACTGGAAATTAAGTAGGACCCTAGATATGAGAAGTTGTGCATAAAAAGCACAAGCCCAAAGTCCAGTGCAAGCTCAGCAAAGGTTTCTTCCTTCAGACAAAAATCTTACCTTTATTCCCACTGTTCTTTCCACCAGGAATTCTGTTAATACTAAGGATATAACCATCTTCGGTCACAACTTCATGCTCCTCAGCAGGGTATCCATGATACCTGATAATTTCAGTCTGCAGGAAGCCAAATGAAGGCCTAGTTAGATAAATCCATTTTTTCACATGGTCTGGGGTGTTAAGCAAGGATCCCCATGGAGGGAAAGCTATCCCAGTCCACAGGTTTAGGCAAACTGCTCCTCAGTGTAAAATCTGAGAAGAGAGAAAAAAGAAGGTCTGGCACTTTTGCACTCACCTGTTCCGTGAAGCTGCGGGCCTCTGGTTCAAATGCTTGGTGTTCTAATTTACAGGTTCTGGAAACTGTCACATAATAATCTCTATAGCATATAGCCAGGACTATGCCCCCTCCTCTTTGACACAGCCCTGACAAACATTGTAACCCAGGTGTCAGGACAGGATGGGGCTGAACAATTCCTTGTTGTCTGCATTATTTTTCAATCCAACCTTAATCTCAAGCAATGCCATCATAGCTGGATTTGTGGAGTATATGCCAGTAAACTGTAATGAAGATAATGAATCATGCTATGAGATGCTTAATAGCCAGTTTCTTTTAAAAGACACACCTAAACTACTGTAAGAAAACTTCCTCATCAATGTAAAGACACTGTCTTGATCAGCTACGGTGATGTGAAATAGCTAATTATAGCCCTCCTTAGAAAAGGAGCAAGAACAATTTGCCCTGGATACTAGGGAGTGATATTTTACTTTTAAAAGAGACAGCTTCTACTCCTAAAAAGTACAAATAATTTATATTTGTTATCTTGTGCCAGCCTGTTTTATCTTTAAGGGAATAAAGTTGATGATGCTTCCTTAAAATTATTGCAAAACAACGTGAGCTGAGACAATAAACAGTTGATCTTTTAAAATGACTGATTACTCACCCTAACATATTCACAGAGCTCCTGCCTTTCCCTAGGAATAATTAAGAAACAATTCAGAGAGCAGCATAACAGGCAAAATAGATGCATAGTCAGAATCCTCCCTTCTGGGAGAGAAGTCTTTGCTTAGCTGAGAAGCTATGTTGTTGGTACATGGGAAGAGTTTAATTAACTTTAGACTGGAAAATGCTGTCCAACAACTCTATTAGGAGAATATGTCTGTTTGGCAGTTAAAATCTTTCTGGCAAAGTGTAAATGCCCTACTAAGCCAAGTGCAACAGGAAACTTATGTTTATTTAAACCCCTTCTCAAGTTCTCTGTAATGTCCAGAAAGGCTAAGCCATATCAGAGGAGGCCAAAACCACCATGACAGATCCCCTTCTCAATCCTTTGGCCTATGGTTTAAAATACTGTTTACCGATAAACGCAGAAGAACTCCTATTGATTTCATGCTTTATGGTGTGTGTAGATGAAATGGGGGCCCTAAATTGAAGTGGTGGGTTTTAAAAAACTGCACTTCAATTTAGGGCTGATTAAACCCTGCCCCCCCACCTCCCCTGTGTTGTGCACACACCCCGCTGAGTTAGCTGCCTCTCTGGCGGGGAGGGGAGGGTGATCTGCTGGCAGGAGGAGTGGTCCCTGGGCTGCAGGGGGGACTGGTGCTTCCCTCCGTGGCAGCTGTGGGTCCCCCAAGGTGGCACCTGCCCACAGGCACCTGGATCAGGCAGTCCTGGGGGGCACTGCAGCTGTGGAGGGAAGCATCGGGCCCCACGCAGCTCAGGCAGGCAGGCAGGCTCTGGGGAAGGCAGGGGGAGGAAAGGTCAGGCTTGCCGCTTTTCTTGGGCAGAGCTTCTTTCCCGGGCTGCTGCCAGGCTGCCTGAAGGGCTTCCTACAGAGCCATGGAGCTGCACAGAGCCCGGTGCTTTGCTCTGTGTCTGTAGGGGCAACAAATTAAAATTCTTCAAAGGAGTTTTAGTTTCCTGCACCCCAAGTCATTTAAGGCATGTTACACCACTGAATTTCCTACAGTGGCTGGAATTAATGTACAATACGCCACTGAGGCATGCAAACACTGACACCATTAAAGCGGTGCAAAAGCATTTAGCCCGCTTCAAAGTGTTGCGCGCGCATGCCTCTCATTTTGTCTACACATGGCCTTAGGTGCCATATCAATGGTCTCATACTAAGTGGCAGAGCTGGGGATAGAATTCAATAATTCCAGCTCCCAAAGCAATTTCCAGTCAAGGGCAAGAGTCTAAGGCTACTTGACTTACACTAAAATAGTATTTTTTTTCATGGTGTACTATAGGCAAGACATAACTACTGTCTGCACAATTGTAGTTGAACTTTCATTTCTACCAAGGAGAACTTTTACAATCTTTTCTCCTATGCCAGAAGAAGGGTAGTTGTGCCCAAAAGCTTGCAATTAAAGAATTCTTTTTTGCAAAAATCTAGTTTGTCTTAAAAAAGATATCACCGCTACCACGAGTTCTGATTCCTTTTGCCTCTAGACCAATATGGCTACAATCTGGACACCTGAATGCTAGACCAAGGCATTTTTTAAAAGATATCCAGTGCTGGGCACTCTCAAAAATGTGGAACTATTAATAATGGGGACTGTCCTTTAAAAAAGAGGAGAAAATTACATCACTTACAACATTCATAAAACATTCTGGATCCACCCTGTTCCTTTTTAAGATTTCTTCTGAATTCATGGGGGTTGGTTTTCGAAATGCTTCAGAAAATGAAATTCCTTGGAACCAAACCAATGCTGTGAATATCCATATCCTGGGCCTGTGTGAAGCAAGGAATGTCTCTGTAATTAAGAAGGCTATGAGCGTATTGCGTGTGCAAATGCTGCTTTATGCAAATGCTGTTTCTTCGTTTTATAACATCAAAGAAATCCAGATACATCTTTCTGTTTCCTTGGCATCAGATAGAAATGAACAACAGCTCAAGGAACAGGTAGCTTGAGCTGAGACCTAGTGAGAGGGATACGATGCTGAAGAAGAGTTTATTTTGGGAAACTGTCAATACCTATGTGTGTATACTTTGCGTAGAGAATGGGCCCTCAGATTGTCAGGATAGTGAGTAGTGCCTGCTCACACTCCTATTCAACAAAATACTAAAAAGAACTGCAAATACATTCTTTCACATTTCTATTGCTCTAAGGCAGTGTCCCTTCCTCCTAGAATGGCCTTATAATATTCACAGTAATGCATGACTTTTGTCAACGGAGGCTATGAAATACATTGTGTTAACTGAATGTAATGTACTGTAATTTGAAAGCGCGACAGTTGGGAAAGCAGCCCTGCTGACTGGATTTGGACTACAACTCTCAGGGGTTCCCAGGGGGCACAGTCTTGTAGAACTGTGCTAACTGCATGTAGACTACAATCCCTAGAGACACTGGGTGCAGGGTGACAGAGAGGAAGCAGAAAGCAGCAGCAGATCGCAGATTGCAGCAGCAGAGCATGGGATGCAGCAGCAGAACTAAATGCATGGATGGAGATCCCAGATGAGTGACAGAGCTGGGAATGTGGACTGCAGCAGTGGCACTCAGATGCAAAGGCATGTGCAGATGGTAACTTAGTGCTCTTGTGACCAGAGGCTGGTTTGGAACACCTCCAACATGAAGGAAGGTTTAAGGGTTCTTGATTGTACGTAGCACAGCAGTAGTGCTCACTACCTGTTACCTGTTCTTGAGTTAATTCACCACACTGTTACTGCTTATTACCTGTTACCTAGCACCTAACTGTATGCACTTTAATGTTAATGTTTATTTACCTGTACCTGTTCCTTTCTCCTCAGCACATTGCCTTGTGACACTATCACCTATCATTTTCTATATAAAAATGGGAACTTCCCTTTTCATCTTCCTGTGTCAGTTCCTGGGGTTGCAGGGTTTGGTACAACTAGACAAGTAGTTTTCAACCTTATTTCATTTGTGGACCCCTAAAAAAATGTGGATGGAAGTGTGGATCCCTTTGGGAAGTTCAATTGGATGTATAGACCCCTTTGAATTGTAAGTGTGGGTATTCACAGACTTCTCATTGATCATAGTCATCTTTCACTGACCCCTTAGACATAGTCTGCAGACCCCCCAGAGTCCACAGACCATAGGTTGAAAACCACCGAGCTAGGCTATACGATCATTCTTTCTTGCTCAGACAGATCACAGAGAAGCTTTCTTGTGTATGAATGATACTAATAAAAATGGTACATAAACACCAAGATGAAACAAACAAGAGACTCACTTGGAAATCCACATTACTTTTCAGAGAACCCACAGAGCAAGAATGCCTGTATTATCAAGAACATTATCTTTGCTTGATTCAGAAATGAGCTTTAATAGAAAGACTAAAGCCTGGTTATAACTGAATTTATTCTTTCTGGCAGATATCAGATTGGAAGACCAGACTGGCAGACTATAATAGTAAAATAAAAAATAAAAAAGCAGGATTTGTCACTTGAATAAGCAGCCTCAAGTGCAGACAAGACATATCATATACCACAATGACTGGTGAATTGTTGCAACTCACAGCTTATTGACTGTTATTAATACAGATTGTTGTATCAGGGCTGATTATATTTTCAGATTGTTAAAGTCCCTTCAATCTTTCCTAGAATATTCTTAAAGGATTAGCCTGTGACATTTACTGATTTTTGCATAATGGTTTGAAATTCATTGTCAAAATTGAAATAGTTGATCAATACAACTTTTTGTAGAATATTTTCCTATTGGTCAAAAAGGCATTTTCCAATGATAAAAGAATAGAAGGAGAATGTTTGACCTGCTCTCACATCCAACTGTTTTTAGTGCTGCCAACCTCAATCATTCAGAAATAATTCTATCACAGCTACATAGATACTTTAGCAGCCTAAAGCATCTTCAAAGGAGTACTATCCACCATTTCACAATCTCATGGCTGATGTCTTCCACAATCCATTAGGTTATTTCCCTACTGACCAGTATTGGACATGCTGACCCTCTGTTCGGAACAGTGTTCCCTACTTCTGTCACTAGTACAAAGAGACCTGTATCAAATCATATATACCATTTTGCAGTGTAGATGAACCTTAGCTATTTGAGGATTTTTAATCATCATATGAAAAAAGGACAGAAGAGCAGAGAAAGAGTGCCTCTTCATTTTCTCTCAGCTGTTTCAAGCTCATTCTCTCTCAACCTTTTCAAGCAAGTCAGTTATTCAGACATATACCCTTTCCCCCACAGAACCTTCTTAACAATCCAAAAGGTACAGGCAACTTTTAAAGGAATAATAATAATAATAAGATTATAAAAGAAACAGGAATTATACATTCACTGAAGGTTTTCCTATTTATAGACAGACACCAAAAGAAAGATACATATTATGAAGTAATACACACTCACATATCGCTTCAGTTGTCTTGGCCTTTCCTTCTGTTTGTTGTTCTCAGGCTAAATCCACCAGTTGACTGACTCACCATGCAAACTGATGTAAGCTTATAACAAGTAATCAAAAAGAACAGTCTACTTAAGAGTATCAGTATGCATTACCATGTGTTGCCAGCATGCACAGCAGAGCATTCCCATGCTCCTACTGGATAGTAACATAAAAGTAAACACAAAATATATGGAAAATCGTTCTTTCCAATGCCTCCATTAAAAATAAAACAATCTGCTCTTTGTTATCTCTTCTTCTGTGGCTGTCTGCTTCAACCTGCTTGGGGTTCCCAAAGGATTTGTTTACATAATTTTTTAGTCTAATAGTTATCTGAATAATCCTCATAGATTTTACAAATGTTTAGTAAGAAGTGATCTAGGCAAACAAGGTTCTTTGGTTGAATCAGATATCTTTTATTAGACCAACTTAAATAGTTGGGAAAAAAATATTTCATAGATTTCATAGACATTAGGGACGGAGGGACCTCAGAAGATCATCAAGTCCAGCGCTATCGAGTCCAGCCCTTCATCAGGCTGAGGAAGTTTGAGCAGTTGGTGTGTGCTCTTCCTGGATGGAATGAAAAGTTAAGCAGCCAGAGGCTGGGCTGCTATGCATACAAGTCAGTGAAAATGTAGATTGAGGAGTCAATGGGTGAGAGACAGGCTGGGCTGGGGGGGCAGAAAAGGGGGATAAATAGTGGAGAAGTACCTGGGGAGTCAGATGTCAGGCAGGTTATAATGTGTCCTAAATCTATAGTTTATCTATCTAAATCTATAGTCTATAGTTAGTGTATGATCTTTAGTATCCTGGAGGTTGATGAAGTGGAGTTCATAGGCTCGTCTCTGGGAAGTGTTTTGTCAGTTTTCTTTGAGGGTTAGAACTGAAAGACTGGAGACAAAGTGGTTTTCAGTCTGCCTGCTACTTGCTGCAGCTGCCCACAGCTCAAGCTGGCTACAAGCAACTGTGCTGGGCTCCAGAGCCCAGTCATCAGCTCTGTGCAGCCAGCAGAGCAGAGGGTGGGGTTGCACTGCCTCAGGCCCCTCCCCCACTATCTGCTTGGAGGCGCGCGTGAATGCGCTGGTACGGAGCTGATGCCAGAGCCCGGTGCAGCTGTTTGCAGCCTTCTGGGTGCAGCCAGCCCCAGCTCTGTGTAGCTGCTACCAACCAAAGCCCAGGCTGCTTGCAGCAGGGCTTGCAGCTGAGCCCACCTGACTCCTGCCGACTCCAAGCCCAGTGCTGGCCCAGCCCCCACACCGGGATGAGGCTAGCACTGCCCCTTGCTGGAAACACCATACCTTAGTTTAGCTGTTTGGAGTGGGTGGGTGGGTGGGCTGATGGGCAGGCTCTGGGCTGGGGCCTCAGCCAGCTATGCTACACCCCGGGGCCTGGCTCCCCAGGGAATCACAGGGGCTCCACTGGGCCCAGGGCATTGTTGGGTTGGACTTTGTCTGGTGGCCCAGCAGCCTGGCTCTGTGCACCTGCGCATCTGGTTCTGTGCGTTTGTCTGCCTCTGGTTCTGTGTGTCCACACATGTGTCTGGTTCTGGATGTGTTTCCCTCCACTGCAGTGGCGGCCGCCCTCTCACGTGGCACCTGCCTGCAGGCACCCGGCTCAGGTGGTCCTGGGGAGACCCCAGCTGTGGAGGGAAGCACTGGGCCCCAGAGCAGCTCAGGCAGGCAAGCAGGCTCCAAGGGGGAAAGAAAAAAGAAAGATCACAGGCTCACCACTTTTCTTGTGTGGAGCTGCTTTCCTGGGCTGCTGTCAGGCTGCCTCCGGGGCTTCCTGCATAGCCACGGAGCTGCATGGAGCCCAGTGCTTCATTCTACGGCTGTAGGGGCAGCAAACTAAAACTCCTCAAAGTTGTTTTAGTTTGCTGCACTCCAAGTCATCTAAGGCACATTACACTGCTAAATTTCCTACAGTGGCTGGAATTAATGCGCAATACGCTGCTGAGGCATGCAAACACTGACACCATGAAAGCAGTGCAAAAGCATTTAGCCCGCTTTAAAGTGTCATGCACACATGCCTCTCATTTCATCTACACATGGCCATGCAGGTTACTGTTAAACGTGTTGGATTCAGTGAGGAAATTAAAATAAACTGATATTCATTTTTTCCTGGTTTTCTATACTGGAGTTCTGTATTATTTGTACTTTTGTATCTTTGATCCTTTTAATGGTGCCCCACAACACTGTTAGATGTGCAATCACCTACACACAATTCTCAAGATAATAAAAATATGTACTTTCAAGAACACTCTGGCCTGTTGTGTTTATATGGAATTTCTTTGCAACAGAAGATTTGCTTTATTATTTTTCTGTAGTCCAAAAATGAGTGACAGCTACCTCTCAGTTCCGTGTTCTTGGGTTACCCTGGCACAGTGTGCAGCCTGTCTGACTCACAAAGAACTTTCCCCCTCCCCACCTCTGCCTGAATAAGAACTGATTAGAGGAAGGACTTACAGAAGCCAAAGAAGATGCAGTGGGAAACACACCTAAAGCCCTCCAGACAAAGGTGATAAAAGTGAAGCAACTCCCCTGGTCTCATTTGCATCTGAGATGGAACCAGATCACAACTCATTTAAATGGGAAATGGAACAGGCATGCACCTTCACTAGCATTCAGGATGGAGAACAGAGATTCCAAGGCAAGGACTGCACTGAATTCTGGAACCAGAAAAGCAGGGAAGCACTGCATGATGAGGAATCCTTGCTCCAAATGCTAATCAACCCACATCTACATACACCCAGCTCAGCATTTATCAGACCAATTCTAGTAATGATTCCTTTATTGGTATCCAAAATGCTGAAACTTCCTGTCTGTATTGTGAGCTCCCTCAGAGTAATACCACCTATAGCCGGCAGTGATCAATTCCTATTATCCAGCATATGAACCATTGTTTACCCCTAAACAAACCTAGTGTTCTCCCTTGAGCCATTGTCAGTTCTCTACAAAAACCCCTACCCAAGCTCAGGTTTCTGTGCTGGTGCTTAGATTCAAAGCTGCACCAGTTCCACTCCTTTTCTGCCTGGGATCTCTCCATTGATTGTGCTGAGGACTCTGCCCGTCTGCTAGATCCAACAACACCTGGGAACCTTGACTGGTTCAAGCTTTGCTGAGTGGTGAGACCCCAACACTCTCTCTCTCTCTCTCTCTCTCCAGGAACCTGACTGTTATTCTCTTACTCCAGGCACAGATTTCTAAACCTGACTTTTGCTAATCAAACTTTAGCTAGACTTCCCAAAAACCTAATTGAAACTATGTAGTACTGTAACTGTTTAGTTGTCTCTCTCTTGTATGACTATTATTACTGGTATCATCATAAGTTCATATACCAGGCAATAAATAACTTTTATGGTCAAGCTGGTTGCTATACTTTCTTTCTGAATCTCACCTACTCCTTCTTCCCTTTGACCTCCCCATTTGCTATGCAGCAACTCTTATTTTATCTAAGCCAAAGATCCTTGTAATGCCCAAAACCACAGTGGGGTCTGCTCATCAAGGGGGTTACTACTAGGGCCATTGTGACAAGAGATTGTGATGTGCTGAGTTTTGAGGCGCATGAGGGTATCAGCTGAAAGTGCTGATCAGACTCAGTCTGCTCAGACATACTCTGTTAACCTGCGTGCTTGTGTCTGACTACATTTTGTTGTTGCCCTGATGAACTGAGTTCAAGGCATATGAGGGTGTCAGCCTATCAATGCTAAATAGTCCGGCCTGGCTCAGATGTGCTCTGTTAACCTGTCTGCTTGTGTCTGACTACATTTTGTTGTTGCCCTGATGAACTGAGTTAGTGGCGTATGGGGGTGTTAGCCTGTCCAAGCTAAATGACCCAGCCTGGCTCAGACATATCCTATTGATCTGTGTATGTGTGTACATGTATTTGACTGATTTGGTGAAAGGAGGAAACCAGCCCCATTGAAACTGGGTCCTGCAAGATAGCTCCTTTGGGGGTGAGAACTTGCAGAAGGGAGAGATACAGCTCCATATAGAAACACAAGTAACACAAGCAGTACATTGATACAATTACAGAGACCCCCAGAAATGTACCCCTAATAAGTGAGCACTCACCAAAGTGATGGGCAAATCTGGTAACAACATATATATCTATATTAGGGCTGTGCGAAGCTTCAGACCACGATTTGGTATCGGATTCAGATTCAGAAAAGATTCAGATGATTCAGAGGCTGAATCTGCATATCCAAATCGAATTGGTAGCTGCTTTTGACTTTCCAAATTGATTTGGAGCTTCCAAATCGATTTGGAAAAGATTTGGAAAAGATTTGGTGATTTGGAGATTTGGAGGGAATAACACAGAGGGAATAAAACACACAACAGAGTCACAGTCCACATTCAGAATTCATAAAAAACAAACACATCCCAGCAGAGAAGAAAAAGACAGACAGCACACATTTTTACATATGCCTTTATACTTATTAGTGAATCAAACAATCAAAGAAGAGTCCAATGCATGCATGCTACACAAAGGGAATAAAACATACAGCACAAAAGGAGTGACATGCAGACACCTTTTGCAGCACAGGAAAGATGAATTTGAAGCGTGCTGGAAAGACAACTGCCAGATCTTCTGGCAGGGGAGGGAGAGCGGGTAGGGGGACAGCTACAGCTGCAAGTCCCTGCCCTCCCAAACATAGAGGCATTCTCTTTCCAAGCAGCCATGATGCTTCTGCTGCCAGTAGAAGCAAGGAGGTGGGAGCAGTGTCAGCACCTGATGTCCCTGCACCTGCACCACATCCCCTCAGTTCAGAAATAGGCACCAGCAGTGAAATCACTGTCTCCTCCACCCCAATGTCATCTCTAAGCGTAAGCTTCCCACTGCCAGAGGAGGAGCTGGAGCTGCAACCAGGGGTGCAGAGTGCCCTGGCTCAAGCAATTCTGGGGACTGAGGGGGAATCAGAGTTTGTGCTCCACACCCCTCAAAGTTCCCTTAGACCCAAGTCTCCTTCAGAAAGCAGCACCTCAGAGGAGGTTGAGGTTGTGGAGACTGAGGCAAGTGGCTCATCTGAGGCAGCTCCTCCTGCTGTTGTGCCTCAGCCTGCTTAGGAGTGGGATAAGGCAGCATCCTCACCTTCAA